AAATACTTTTATAAAAGAAATTTAAACAAAAAAAAATGGCCGTGGAGGGGGGTGGGGTGCGAGGAAATGATGGAGTGGGGAAAGAAAAATATTTTACATTTTATTTTATAAAACAAATATTATTTTTTTGGATAATATTATTTTTAACTTTTAATTTTAACTAATACTAATAATTTATTTAATTTTTGTCAAGATTGAATATTTTGTCCATGTGGAGTGTGATGTGACAATTTTTTAAAATAAAAGAGAGTGTATTACATACACCATGATGAGAGTGGTATAAAAGAGAGAGGTATGTTTCTCAAACTTAAAAGTGATAGTTTAGGTATGAAACTCACACTCTCAATAGTTTAGGTATGAAACTAAAAAAAAAGGTATAGTTTAGGTGTGTTTTTGACACTTGTCTCTAATTTTATCAAAAGAAGAAGGTGCATAATAAATTTATTCTACATCTTATCATTGTTTTATATTAATTATTCTTTTATTTTTACTCTTATTAAGTAATAAATTTTTAATTAATTCAATTACTAGTGATCGAATTTTAACTTTCAAATATCACTAATAAAATTAATTTGGTAAAATAAATAATTAACTAATATTTTTTAAGGGAGAACAATATGCAAGCTGGACAAATAGAAAAGAACAAAGGGCATAATTCAAAACATCCTATCAAAGAAGGAAAAGATGTAGACAACCATGCGCAATAAGGAGTACCACAAAGTACAGTGAATAGTTTCAATCTTATTGACTTCATTGCTATGGTGATTTTCATATCTTCTGTTTACCTAATTGTGTCCTATCTAGAGTAACTCTTTAGCTGTCCAATAAGAGAATTTTGACAATTTTATTTGTAAGACATTGTCATTGTTAAAGGGTCAACTTTTTAGCAGACAGTGGTACTATGCCAAGGTACTTGAAAGGTAGACCAGCGATAGTATAGCTTGAGATCGTGGTCTATTTATTACACAATAAATTTTCTACTATCTGTCACTCGAAAAAAATGAAGAGGAAATTCATAAGAAGACGATGGAGAACGAGAGATCTGAAGAATGTAGTGAAAGCAAAGAGAAAAAAGAGCAACAGAGTTCTTTCGAAGAGGAACCACTTGAAAAACAACAACAACAACAAGGTATCAAAAGTATTTAAGAAATTAACATTTTACAATTGATTTATATTACTTCTTTCAAATTATTTTGATTTGGAGATGGAGATGGATCCTAATTTTAAATTAATTTAATTCATGATATGTAACTAATTATTTATGATACGTAATTAATTTATTTAAACATCTTACAGTTGACTTATATACTATTAATTATTTTATTTTTGTTTGGTTATGCATGATTTTTCAGGTGAGTTTGATCATACCTTTATGGAGGAAAACATTGATAATAGATCAAATCTTTCGACGAAAGAGAATAAAGAAGAAGAGGATCATTTAAATAAGGGAATAGTACTAGAGAGTACAATGTTTAAATCCCTTTTTGATCTATGCGAGGTAATTAATTAATCATGACTTATGTCTATTTACATAATTTAGGGAATGTCTA